ATATATATATATATATATATATGTATATATGTATATGTATTTCTCAATACTTAATCTGGTCTTGCTGTAGCATCCGGCTGCAGAGAACCGTAATAGCCTGTCTTCACTCGTCACTGTGCAGAGACGCTGTAAATGCTTTTATTTATCAGAATTTTTGCATATTTGCTGTGCAGTTTTTAGCAGGGCAGAGCGACTTTACAGCTTCTATCGTATCTAAGAAATGTCATGCAGAGAAGAAGCCATTTCTCAGTTCTATCACAGCTACTAGGATTTGGAAACTTCAACCTTTGACTTTAACGTGCTGTTTGAATCCTTTCGTTGACGTCCGGACCCGTCAGAATTTCTATAGCATAAGAGTTGATTTTTTCATTACAATTAATGCATTGATTTTGCACTACCCTAGAGGTTCTCTGGATGTTTTTTTTATTTGATGAATCTGGAATTTGACTTTCCGAAAGCAAATTATTCATACTTTCATCATCATTCATGAGAACTGATCCCATTGCCCTCTTCTTCCAGCCTAGTCGAGGGTTATCCGTGCTTTATCGCTGTTCTCCACACAGTTCATTACTCCACCAATAACAGATAGTATCTAAGTTTCCAGGTTTTTTAAGTCCCCCCACCCCCCCCACACTGTCATTGGTAGATGCAGATAGTTTAGATAGATAAGGGGTCACAGTGCCAACCTGAAACATTAGTCACAGAGTGTTTGCTCTCACACACAAGAGCTGGAACTGCTACCTGTCAGAGCCTGAGGGTGTTGTGTTGCTAATTTAGAGCTCCATGATTTGGTTTCAGGAATTTCAAAGTTGTGGGGTTTTCGCCGCTTGGGGCTTCCTTCAGTAAACCTTTACTTGATAACTGCACAGACATAAGACACAGTGGTTGGATCTTGTAAAGTAAAAAAAAAAGTCTGCTTTTTGCCTTAGCTGGTTACTTTTACACAGAATGGCAGCAAAACAGGGGAAGGGAGAAAGCCTCCCTTTAAGAAAGTTCCTGGCATCAACACAGAGACCTTAAGATTTTGTCACACCCATGAATGTGACGCCAAACTGAACATGACACCACATGCATGGGGAATGCTCTATTTACTTTGGGGACAAGTCAGCATATTGGCTACAGGGACAAATGAGAATGTAGACTGAAGCTTAATCCAGTCAAGCTGTTCTATGGAGTAAAGTTCTCCCAGGAATCCCAGGAATCTCTCATCAACACTGAAAGACAGAATTATCTGAACGGAGACAAGAAAATTTTTAAAACTTGATAAAAACAGTAGCTATTCTGACCGCAAACTATGCTCCTGCTCTGTCTGTTACTCTGATAGATTTATGTTTTAAAACTCTGATTTCATTTTATTTTTATGAAAGTGGAGAAGATATGAAGTAATACCCGAGCTTTGCTAAAATCCCCCACATTGATCATCTTTAAGAAGTAATGCATAAACTCAGGCTGTACTTTTCTCTAAAGGGAGTAGCAGCTTTCCTTCACTTCTAGCCTAATTGCAGAGTGGAAATATTTAATGTTTCCTTCCTGTCTGCTGCCAAGTCAGTGAATGTGACGCCTTTAAGGCCTTTAGTCTATATCTTGTATTTTTTACTGAAAAACTGTGTGATGAGTAAAGTAGCTCATGATCTGTTCTGGTAAAATGTTTCAAGTTAAACATTTTAGAAACTTACAGCAGCATTTTTTAATTGTGGTAACTCTCTTGGCATCTGTTGTTTGGTTTTTGCACCTGTGTCTCTGTGGGGGTGGGGGGGGATTGAATGTTTACCTATGACTGCTTCAGCCGTCTGCAGCCGGGGCCACCTTTGTGCTGCTGCTAAGAATCCTGAGTTATCTTTTTGTAAACAGCCCAAATATTAAAGCTTCTCAAAGGAAAAGTCGGGTCAGCAAGGAATTATCAATAGATCATTATTCATACCTAAAACTAATACATTCGCGGCGATTTAATTAATTAAGCGGTAATCAGTAAAAAAATAAAAACAATAATTTTCGTCTCGATTACTGAGTCTGGAAGCGGCCAATTTTTTGCCCAAATATTGTAACACCTCACTCCTGACATGTTCCGGCAGTGACGTCACGGTGTGGTAAACCTAGCGCCATTCTCCCCGCTTTACAAGCAAAATCAATGGGAGATACTAGACACATCTGCAATCAACTAGCCTAGTAAACTAGCCCCACCTGCCAGCGGGCAAAATCATTTTTGCCTGCGAGTTGGTCTAGCATCGATCAATGCCCCAGGCCCTAGAACTGGCGGGCCAATCACAATGCAGAGATGTTTCGAATGTCTGGATTGCAGAGGGGGTGGGGTTTTGAGGGCATAACGACAAAGTTGACGACATAGTAGCATGCGCTGCGGCAGCAGCAGCTTTCAATGGAGCGCTCCATTGAAAGTTAAAAGTTCTCTTTCTGTTGCCGTTGTTCAATAAAAGTACGTTTTAAGATAATTTGAGGCGAGAATATTATACTTTAAAGCGTCGCTATATGGTCCATTTCAGTCTGCAGTGGCCCTCTCCCGGCATAGTCATATGTGGAGGACCGCTGGCTCTGATGGCGATTTTTGACTCATTTTTGGAATCCGTTTTGGAAAGATTAGACCTGGGGTTTGAAAAACAACGGGTTGTTTTCATCAACAATCTTCTGATGTTTCATTCATCAGGGCCAGACTAAATTACACATCTCATCTCCCATTTAGTCTGGTTTACCAGTCTAGTAATCAACAACAATAGCTATAGTTAAACTGACAATGCCCACGTGCATGGCAGTTGGATGTTGGAATACATCGGGTAAAAGTGAAAAAAATATATAAGTTTTTTCACCTTTCCGATTCATGATCCTCCACGGAAGGGTTGATTTTTAGAGAAATTGAAGAGTGAGGATTTGCCGTCGAACTTCCGGCCAGAGAAAAAACACGTGATTATTCCGTTACTCTCTAGTTCTCCTGGTGCACTCATCGTGGCCATCATGGATAATAGCGCGTTGTGACAAACACCAGATACAGCACTGGGACTTGATCAACAGCAGATACCGCACCGTGACGTCACAAACTGGTAGTAGGCAGTAGTATTCATTTCCAACCTTTACCTCCAGTAAAGCACATTCTAATGAAATTACTCACAATTAAAAGCACTTATCATTTATTGAACGGTATGTAATAATTTCATATTTAAAGTACTTTCAGAAGTTTGAATTCTGAATGTGACCAGACTTCTTCAACATTCTTAGTATGTCATATTGGTATCATAGTACTTTAAAGTTTTAAATGCATTAATGATAACTGAAAAAGTTGTTTTCTTTACATCTAAATCTGTTGCTCTTCTGCTTATAGTGCTAGCAGATGATGATGCCTTCAATGATGAAGATGAAGGAGAAGCTTTTGACTTTGACAGTGGAGATGACATCCCTGAGGCTCCTCCAGCACCTCCAATCCTTCCCACTGAGGATCCGAGCCCGGTGGACTCTTTGACCATTCATCCCGAGGACTCTCACTGCATCCCGGAGCCTCCACCGCCAATCTCCCATTCGGAACCTTCATCCCTGGACACTACGGCTGCCATAAGCGAACTTTCCTCAGCAGGCAGAGAAACAACAGAAGCTAAAGAGACATCTGCTGCTGAGGGAACTAATGACAGGGAGGAAGATTTACCACCACTGCCGTCTCCACCCCCTCCTGTTGGTTATGGTGTACAGACAGATCCTAGAAGCGCGGGTTTGTAAACCGGAGAGTTTACTTCTAACATTTCCTTTTTTTTTTTTAAATTTTGAAGCTCCCTCCACTCATTTTAACCTAGTTTTTTAATAAATTAGGGCCTGTCTCTATGCAATCTGTGCTCAGAAAAACAGCTAATTGTGAATGACACTCTAAGTACAATACATTGCTTTTCCTTCTTGGCAGTCATCTTAAATTCCCCACATTCTTTTGGTTCTCCCTGTTTACAGTGTCCAGACCTACAGCTCTGGACTTAAAGAAAGGCTGTCCACTTCTCCCATGGTTTACCACTGAAATTTATCCTAGTCTTTTTTTCTCCAATTCATTCTGTTTTAATTTCTAAATGAATACTCATTTTTATTTATACATATACACATATATATATTTATACAGTTAATAGAGTTTATATATTTATACACTTATATATTTATACAGTGGCGCAGTGGGTAGCACTTTGGCCATGCAGCAAGAAGGTTTTGGGTTCGATATCCTGCCTGGCGTCTTTCTGCATGTTCTCCATGAGCATGCTTGGGTTCTCTCCAGGTACTCCGGCTTCCTCCCACAGTCCAAAACTATGACTGTTTAGGTTAGTTGGCTTCTCTAAATTCTTAGGTGTGAGTGTGTGTGAATGTTTGTTTGTCTCTGTGTTGCCCTGCGATTGACTGGCGACCTTTCCAGCGCGTTCCCCGCCTATAGACAGCTGGAGATAGGCACCAGGACGCCTCATGACCCTGCCTAGTCTGGGAGATGGATGGATGGATGGACTGATGTTATTTGTTTATCCTAAAACAATGTTTTTGCTCTAATTTCCATATTTTAGGCTCCCTCTTAAATTGCTTTAGCTCCTTTTAACCTGTAAAATTGACCAGAATATGCTTGAAAGGAGTTGATTATAATTGTATGACATATATTTATATTTAATAAATTACAATATGTGTTTGTCAAATAAATAACCTTTTGATAATAACAACCTGAGCCGATATTACTCGCCCTTTTAAGGTTACATTGAATTTTTTATTTTTTTTGGTTATATGTATTCTTCATTTAAATGTCACTTACTGTAAGAGGAAACCTGTCGTAGTTAACCCAAAGAATGGCTTAAAAAATAACTCTTTTAAGATGTTTTATCTTTAGAATTTTAAGGATTGTGTGGAGATATTTGGTTTGAATGTGATTCGTAAAATTGTTTCATTGCAGTAGGCTAGAAAGGAAAGCAGCAGGGGAAAAACTGGTGAGGATGGAGGGCAGAGTAAGGTTATGTTTGCCTTTCCACTGAATTGAGGTTTACCAAATATGTCAGTGACGTTTTTGCAACAGTCTTCAGAAGTCCTGGAGAATATAGAGCTCTCTTAATCACAGGTTAAGGGTGCCCTAATTAAAGGTAAAGTGAAACTTTTTTTATGGAAATGTAGGTAAGAAAAGACTCGGGTCCATCCATGTTCTCCCACTTATCCGGTCAGGGTTGCGGTGGGGCTGGTACCTATCTCTGGTATTCTATGGGTGAGAGACAGGGTACACCCTGGACAGGCCGTCTGAAAGGCATGCCGTCTGTTGCAGGGCAACACTGAGACACACAAAGACACACACACACATCTAAGGACAATTTAAAGATGCCAATTAACCTAACAGTCATTTTTTTGGACTGTGGGAGGAAGCTGGAGTAAAGACGCCGGGCCAGGAATCAAACCCGGAACCTTCTTGCTGCAAGGTAGTAGGGCCACAAACTGCACCAAAGTTTTGAATAACCGTGTGTGCACCATAGCGCCCTACCCTGCCCCTCCACTCCTTGAACTGTTATTTGGTACCAATTTAACTAACCCAGTGTTAGCCTGTTGTTTTAAAATCATTATAATAAATGAGTTTAAACATGGGGCAACTTGGCAAACTTTCATTTTGATATAACTTATTGTGCTGCATTTGGATTCATGCAGCTGCATCCACTGTATATAAAAGCTGTATCCTTTGTTTCTCTGTAGACGCTGAAGGAAAAGATGCCTCCCTGGATGCCCCACAACCTTCACCGGCTTTGCCCAGGACTTCCTCTCGGACTAAAGTCAACCCTTACTCAGTAATTGATATCAGTCCCATGCAGCAGCTAGAGCAGCAACAGGGACCCTCCTCTTCCACTTCCTCACTAACTGAGTCAAAACTACAAGAGGAAGAGGGCAGGGATATCCTCACCAGCTCCTCCAGCATTACTTCAGGATACTCCGTGCCTGTGCCCTGTGGCTATGCCACCCCCTCTGGTGTTCCTCTCATCACACCTGCCTATACCACACCTGTCATCATTCGACATCTCTCCATGGATGAAGATGGTAAAGTAGAGTCTGTAACCAGGAGTCATAAAAGTCGTTCCCTTGATAGCTGTGATTTATTTGGGTCTGAGTATGTGTGTGAAGCCTCGACACACAGCAGCCCCCCTCTTCTCTTCTCTTGTTTTTCCTAAAGCCTTCCACGAGGAAGTGGAGACTAAATTTAGACCTCCCTTTAGATCTTTGCTGGCTGTGAGGATTTTCCGTTTTCCCTAAAATCCTGCTGTCCAAGCAGGCACAGCCGTCTACAGACACCATTAGTCTCTTTTCAAACTCACATTTTGTTGAAATACTCAGTTTTATTGTAGGGAATAACTTTCATTAGGTAGATCCTAAAAAGGTTTAGCAGTTATGTTTCCCTTCTGACTAATGAGTTTTTCGCCCATAATAAACACAGCTGCATTATGGCCCTGTGAGGACTTTAAGACAGTGAATGAGGAAAACAACATCATGCTTAGGTGAAATTAAGGAGATACTGGACTACATGATGTCAAAATGATGTCATGTAGGGAGCAATCAGTGACCCCTGGTGGCAGATGTTTATTTTTTTTTTTTTCTTAGTTTTGTCTAAGGACTAAATATAGGTTGATACGGAAGAGGATTAATGCCTCTGAAAAAAAAAAAAAGTTAACTGATTTTTTAAATTTTATTTCAGTATAGTATGGGGAAAAAGTCAGAATTCTGACTTTAATGTCTTCTGACTTTAATGAATTCTGACTTTTTTTATTGTCAGAATTCAGTCAGAATTCTGAGATTAAAGTCAGAATTCTGACTTTTTTCCCATGTTAAACTGAAATAAAATTTAAAAATCAGTTTACTTTTTTTTTTTTCAGTGGCCCTAATCCTCTTCCGTAAGTTGAAGCTGTTCTGATTGGATAATACAAATCACCATGAGTTTGTCTAAACATTTAGGCACCAATGTGCACAAAGTATTCACTGCTGTTAAAAATTTAAGGGTTTCACTGATTGCAATTCATCTGAGATATCTAGGCCTGTATAAGGGTTTAATCTGGTTCTCAAACTGCAGCCAAGGAGGTTCTGTGTGCAACTATTGGAAAAAAGGCTGAATTACCTCTTGAATTAAATCATTATCTACTGTGGATGACTTGATGATCTGATTCAGGGCTGATGATTATGCAGAGACGCATCTAGGAGATGCAGGCAACCAGTGCCACCCTGAGGAGTAGTTTCACAGCTGAGTCCTTGACCAATGCAAAGTATTATAGAATATAGAAAGCAGGATGATTTTTCACATATTTTTCAAAAAACATATCAGAAATGTTTGACATCCATTT